AGAAAAGGATCTAGAAGTGATGCTTACTCAGGAGCAGTGTGACGAGGAGAAAGGGGGAGCAGAAGGAAGAGCAGGAGAGGCTGCTGAAGGCGAAGAAGAAGAGGATGATGTTGATGATGACTTAGAAGAGGGATATGTAAGTCCCGAGGATCCTTTCCCACGTGAAGCCAGAAGGAGGCCAACAGAGGAAGATTTGGATAAGGATTTTGACCCAAACGAGGAGGTAGGGAAAAGCCTTAGCTTGTAAATTTTGCTAAAGCTTTAGCTGTATTACCTCTGCTAACACTTTGACCTGTCGTATATACAGATCCCTCCTAAAACTCGGAAAAGACGACGTCGATGTCCGTGACATCTCGCTAGACAAGACAGAGTAGAGGAAAGGAGAGCAGAGGCAACAGCCACAGATACGGATCACTATGCCTCTGCTCCACAACCTCAAGAGACAACCACGACTACCAAGCCTAAGAGGAAATGAGGGGATAGGAAAGGAAATCTATATCCAGATAAGGCATGCTATGTGATAACGGAGGTCAGGCCAGCAGGGGAGATCCTTGAGCCGAAGGAATTAAGAGGATGATTTCGTAATGCGATCGGGGCCCTAGTAAGAGACAAATTGAACCTAGCAATCCCTAACTGGAAAGAGGTACCATAGAACAAAAAGAATGAACTATGGGATAGGCAGCTGAAGCTCAATTTTAGATTTTCGGAGGGTAAGCACGAACTGGTAAAAAATGCTTTCAGGATGATGGGAGAGTCATTCCAACATTGGAGATCAGAGCTCAACACGAAGTATATACAAAAGGGGTTAACTCCCTTCAACGAGTTCGGCAAAATAACTCCTAGTCAATGGGAGGAGCTCGTGGCTCAGAAGACTTCACCGGAGGCATTGGAGCTCAGTGCCCGTAACACCGAGCTGGCGAAGAGGAACAAACACCACCATCATCTAGGCCCCGGTGGCTACTATGCCAAGGAAGAGCAGTTTAGGAAGATGGACGAAGAGGCCGCAGCTGCTAGGAATATCGATGTGACGAATTTGAAGGTACACTCAAGGAATTGGATATATGCGAGGAGTGTAGAATCATCCGGTGGTAATCTTAAGTTTGATAAGCCGGAGACCCAAGAGGTAGTATCAAGGATACTGAAATATGCTGAAGACAAGGAGAAGGGCTCATTCAATCCTTCCAGAGAGAGGGACGAGCTTAGCCTTGGCTTGAGAAACAAGGAGCACACAGGCCACACCAGGGGGCTAGGGAAAAGGACGACCTGGAAGTAAGGATTCAAAGAGGACAGGAACATGTATAAGAAACATGGCAGAGACCAGGAGACTAATCTTGAGCTCCAAGTGAAGGCTCTAGTTGCGAAGGTGCTGGAGGAGCAAGGACTGTCTATGGAGCCACGGATATTAGTGATACCATCGAGAGAACTAGCATTAGTTGGCAGCCCTCCGAAAGTTCCTAGCAGCCAAGGTTCCACTGCAGCCACAACCCCCGTCGATCGCATACGGGATCCAACTAGTTGCACCTTGATGTTTCTCAGTGGCCGGCATAACACTGTGATGGAGGTGGCAACGGGTGTGGCACATCCTCCTGGTGGCTTACACCACAATAATAAGATACCGCCGGACTACACTAGGGTCGAGGTGCATACCATGAAGCCCGAGTTCATGCAGTGGAGGATAGACTACGCAACTCCCGAGGGGCTGGTGTTACTCGGAGACGTTATTGGGCAGTTCATCCTCTGGCACAAACGGGACATTATATTGACTGCTTCTTCGCCGCATCCCCCTCTCCAAAATTTGGAGCGAGTTGTTGAGGTCAGGGAGATATTTTCACCGTCTCGTGACCACCACATTCCTGAGATGCCACATTCTTCCCTGCCTCCTAGCGAGCATGTGCCTGATGAGATGCCACAACCTTCTCCAGCTCGTACCGAGCAAGTGTATGATGAGATCCCATAGTCTTCTCAACAAGCACAGCCGATACATGAACAACGAGTGCCTCCTGAAGAAGGTGATGCACAAGAAGATGAGGACGTGCCTGAATGGGAACTTCAAAAGAAGCATCCAATCACCATAAGGCTAGTTTATGTTCTGATAAAAGACATCTCGTCGGTGTCCAAGTGGTATTCCCATGACCAGTTCAAGCCTGAGAACCAAGTTAAAAAAGTCCCCATCACGGGGTTCTGAGGAGGCCGTCACTAGCAAACTCCACCAAATTGCAAAGCAGCATCCAAATGTTGATGCAATCAAATGGTCAAAGGATTACCCGAAAACATATGAAAGAGGCAAGCCCTTCCTACCAAACCGGGACATCCAGCGCCTAACACTTGGAATGAGAAGGTTCCATGATTGGTACTTGCGTGTTCTCCCAACGAGCATAGACCTCATACAAGCATGCTTCCCCACCGGCACATTTGGAAGCCCATCCGGGAAAATTGTCTTTGATTTCAATGACATGCAGACATGCATTCACCTGGGAGCAATGGAGATGAATCTAATTCGCACGTGGTGCCTGTAAGTCCTTGTCCTCCCGATATGATATGATTGTAATCTTTGAATTTTGTTGTAACTAACCCATGCCGTGATTTGTAGAATGCAAGTGCACATTGTCAAACAAATACCAAGTGTGAAAGCCAGGTACATAGACCCTCAAGTTATAGCCCAAACAAAATTTAATTACCCTAAACAAGGAAATCGGATGCCAAAGAGCTAGTCATTTGCAAAGACTCTTCGGGAGAAAGAGCACATCCGTGACAGGTAAAACTAAGGAAGAGTCCCTTAAGGTTGCGTGTACATTGCCCCGGCTTTCAAAATTCTCCAACAAAGACTCTATTATATGGCTACCATACAACTTCGAGTAAGTTCAACTCTATACTTAAAGCTTTATTCGATATATTTTATTCGATGCAAAAGAGCTTATCTAGTTCTATGATTAAATCCATGCAGCAACCACTGGATTTGTATAGTCATCGATGTCGGGAGGAGCATGGCATGGGTCTTTGATTCAATAGATAGGGACCTGGTGACATACAAAGACTTCATATCAATTCTTAAGACGTATACATATCGACAATCCTTATTAGCTTATATGTTTGTATACGTACTTGTAACATTCACTTTTGGATACTAACAAGTTGTATTTGCTAAAATAATTCGAACAGGGCATTTAGGTTCTATGTCACTACACATCACGGAAGGCATGATCCAGCAAGGAAGGAAAAGCTGGCTATAAAAACACTATATGCGGTAAGTGTAACTTACTTTTTCAGTACTCCATTACATGGCTATTAAAAGCATTACTTAATATTTTCATATGCAAAACATACAGTGCCCCAAGCAGAAGCCTGAGAGTGTATATTGTGGATACTATATATGTTCTATGATGAGTAACACCGGTGCCTACAGGAGACACCCCTTGAGGGTAAGTTTGAACCTCGTCACCCGTAGTATAAAAACTTCATACATGGTATGAAATACTAAACCGAAACTTGTTCTCTTGTAGTGGAAAGAAGAGAAATGAATGAAAAGAGACCCATACAAGGATGACCAACTCTTAGAGCTCGTCGGCGACCTTTGCAACTTCATATTGGACCAGATTGTACACGACAAAGGCGTCTACCATGACCGAGAGTCTGACTTAGGTAGAAATCCTCAGTACCAACACCTTCGTAAGACTAAAAGGTTAGCTCTAGAACGTTGATAACAATGTGTATGGAATTTATATATTTAATGATGGATTGTATATATTCTTGTGAATTGGACTTGTAATTGTAGTTTATATAATACTATTGTGCTTGTAGTCTAAGGGGTTCGGAATGTTAGTCGCGGTGCGTTCGGCAACGCGAACGCGGTTTGGAACGTTGGTCGCGGGGCGTTCGGCAACGCGAACGCAGTTCGGAATGTTGGTCGTGGGGCATTCGGCAACGCGAACGCTGGATGAAATACGCGGAAACAAACATTGTTCTGATCGAATTTGAATTATAAATTTGAATTTTGTTTTGACGAGAAACGTACTGTAGGGGCGGTTCTAAATTGAACCCTACAAACAGGTATTATAGAGGCGGCTGGTACTACAGCCTGCCCCTACAAATCGATTTGTAAGGGCGGCTGGTAATACGAGCCGCCCCTACAAATCGATTTGTAAGGGCGGCTGGTAATACGAGCCGCCCTTACAAATCGATTTGTAAGGGCGGCTTGGAAATTGCTCCTACAAATGCATAATTTGTAGAGACGGTTTGGTAGGGACGGCTAGCCAAACCGTCCCTACAAAGGGTTACGAGTCACCCCTAAAATACGTTTTTGTAGTATTGGCGGACACTATCAACTCTAAAACTATGACAGTGTCGTACGCATGAACAAGTATCCGTCTCCAAAATTAGTGTCGTTTTAGTTTTTATAAAAAATATTAGCAACATTTGTATCTTTAATAAATTTATTTTAAAAGTATATTCAATAATTAATCTAATGATATTTATTTTTCACAAAAAAATATTAATGATTTCTTGTTTATATATTTAGTTAAAATTAAAAGGGTTTGACATCGTTTAATTATAGAAAAATATATATGAATTAAGGCACCTAAAATATAACAACTCTCTTAGTTCATTGGCCAGTGATATGCTAAGGCTAGGCAATTAGGCATGTCGAAGCGCTGGTAGCAGCAAACATCAAGCATCAGAGTTGACAGGAGATGGGTTTTCAGACTCGCAGCAATAAACAGCTAAAATCACTGCGTATTATTGAACATCACGATCTCTGCAGAAACAAAAGGCATATGCGTGCATAGAATCACATGAAACAACACCATGTCAAGCACACAAGCAGGTACTACGTGCTGTCATACAAGTGCGTACTAATGAAGACGACACACCGTGGATAGAACAAACACACTAGTACAGTACTTAGTATAACACAGCAGGATGCCGGATGGTAATCAGAAGCAGCAAGCAGCCATGACCGTGACCGTGACCGTGAGTGGACGGATCGCTCGAAGGAGACAGCTCTAGAACCGGCTCATGAGGCCCCTGATCCAAGCCATCACACCGCTCTGCTCATCTCCACCCGCCTGCTTCTCGGCCTCCTTGGCGTGGCGGTGCCTTTGGTCGTGGTGGTGGTGGAAGAAGCGGCGGCCGTGGCCGTGGCTGAACCTCCTCTTCATGATCGCCTTCCTGAACCGCCGGACCATCTCTTCCACTTGTTCATCCTCGTCGTCGCTGTCCTCGCCGTGCTCAGCGTGACGGGGCCGCTTCCTCACCGTATTCTTCTCCTCATCCTCTTTGTCGTCGTGGTGGTGGAAGTGGAACCGCTTCATGTTCATGCCCTCTGGAGCAGTCTCCTCCTCCTGCTCCTGGCCTTCCTCCTCGTCGTGGTGGAGACGGTGGCGGCGCATGCCGTGGTGGAAGTGGAACCACCTTCGCAGCATCTCCTTCTTCCACGCCCTGACCGCCGCCGCACGCTCGTCGTCGTGCCCGTCAGCGTCGGCGAACGACGGCTCCCTGCCGTCACTGTCCGGGAGAGAACGATCCGGGTCCGGCTCGGCCACGGGCTTCACCTCCTCCGCCTCCTTGGCCTCCTCTGCAGGCAAGATGGCGGCAAGGTGGCTCACTGCCTCGCGCCTCTCGCCGTGGCCAGAATAATGGTCACGGAACCTGCGCGGCGCGTCGCGGTAGACGCCGTGGTGGCGCTTCCACCAGAGGTGGTGGTGGAGGCTGCAGGGGCGGTGGCGGTGGAGCCGGTGGGACGGCAGGCGGAGGAATTCGGACCCATGCTGCTGCTCCGCCGGGAGGACCTCCTCCTCCTCAGTGGCGCTGGCGCCCGCCTCGGCGGGGAGGGTGGGGTTGGACGACAGTCCATTCTCGTCGCTGACGGCGACGGCGGCGGTTGATTCGGGCTCGGCGGCGTGGTCTGCTGCGACTGCGACGGTGCGGCAGTGCGCGACGGCGAGGAGGGAGAGGACGAGGAGGAGGAGGAGCGCGGCGGTGGCCGACGGGCGGGCCATGGTTGCGTGCTCGGGAGGGGAACGCGGTGAACCGGTGACTGCGACGCGATGCCGGGCGGGGGTCAGCTTCTGCATTTGTAGGCAAGTTGCGGGACTCACAGTGCATGAGGTGGTGATGAGGTGACCGCGGAGCTGAAAGTCAAACGGGTTATTGGAGGAAACACAAATTTCCCAAATAGTGTACACAGGGAAAGCAAACAGTCTTGATGGCAATCAAGGGCCCATATATTTTCTAGCGGTTTCCTCATGTTATAGTTGTGTTGAAAAATATTTGTAATCTCATAAAGTTAAATTTTTTTAAGAATATATTTCAGAAAAAAAACTAATGGTCAATGATATGCATTAAAAACTGTGCAAAGTCAAATATGAGCAGTATTTTTTTGTTGATCCAAAGTGCTTTGGTATTTTTGAAAATATGTTATTATTAATATTATAAGGTTCTATTTGGTAGGGTTTTTTCAGCAGCTTCCGCTCTAACTCTAAATAAATTCATTAGAAATGCTAATGCAAGAAATGATTTCACAATAGCTTTTGTCTCCAAGAAATGAGTCCGCAGTCAACGAGAGAACCGGTTATACCCACCGACCACCGTTGAAAATAAACTGCCCTCCATTCACCCATCGACAACGGGTTAACCGTAACCAGAAACAAACACGGCATACATCAGCACAAGCCTTATTCTGTCATTCAAAAATTAAGCAACAGGGTTCGCAGCAACGTCATTTTCACCCGACTAAACGATCTTCAATGTTCAAATTGTTAGCCAGTGTCTAATTCCCAGTTTGTTCTAGCTACCGACAGAGCCAGCAGATGTTACGAGCGGCACAAAGCCTAGGGTAGAGGATCCGGTGAGGAAAGTTGTGGCTTGGGAGGACCTCACGACGAGGTACCTACTACGCCGATCGTCTAAGGCAGAGCTCATCCTGGGGCAGTGGAATTCAGCGGCGAGTAGGGCGAGGATCCGACGGTGGGCTCGTCTCTCAAACATGGTGAAGAAGCCATCGTTCAATGCAAGAGGGGCACAATCACTATTTTTATGACTAATAATATTAGTTTTAATCTTACTAATGATGTATCTATTTAAACTACTTAAAATTCATCTCTATAGCAATGATCTGCGACTAATTATATTTTATTTAAAATGCATATATAAATATAAAATTTAATTTTAATGTTGTTTCAATTTAGTTTGAGCGTTATTTATTTGTTGTTATAAATTATATAAAAATACTCTATTTTATTTGTGTGTTGTCATACATTATGTTATATATATATACTTTAATCTATTTATTTATTTACATTTTTATGTATTATTGAAACAATTATTTAGTCATAGATTTTAAATTTCTTATATTTAATAATTAAAATATTTGTTTGATAAATGAGTTATTTTGAATGAGCTATCTTTGTCAAAGTGTGTTAATACTCATATTTTAATCCCTACTTGTATAACCATATTGTTCTTCCATAACTTTCGATGAAAAATACAGATGTCTGGTATCAACTAAATCAAGTATGGAGTCGGAGCTATCATATTCGTAGATTGTATATTCAAATTCTGCAAATTAACAGTTCTTCGAATACTATCCGTCGATCCATTTCCAACTCTACCTGTGGCCTTTCAAAAAAAAAAACCCTGTGATGTGGCCTGCTTTTCCTGGCCAAATTCCTAAACACGGTGTTTTCCTGGCCTGCTAGAGTGCTACTGCCTCTAGTGCTTCACACATCAACCCTGGTTGGCGGCCCACGTGCTCACTGTCCGACTAGTCGGAGCCCAGCTGAACTCCGACCGCCCTCGCGGGCTCGAGTTTTATGGTTGTTGGGCTGAACTGCCTCTGAGTGTTTGGGCCATCTTTGGAGTTAAATTGAACTGTTATCTGCGTGCTCTCATAGTTGTGCTTAATTGAAGCTTTGCTTGTTCTCAAAAAAAAAAAAAAAAAAACTGAAGCTTTGCTCATTTCGTTTTTTTTTGTCCCAGTCGAGTACCGACTGTGTCTTCCTCTAAAAAAACCCCAACTGCTTCTCTTTGGCTAAACAGTTTTGCATGTTCTTGATGAGTTTACCCAATTACCCTTGTAATAATTAATGACGAAGCAAGTATAAATACAAGGCACCACCGGGAGTAACAATGTAGCGAAGGAGCAATTTGCAAAGCGCTTCCCATCCAAAGGTTCGTGTCATATAATTAAGGGCGCGTTTGGATCTTTTGCTTGGAAGTGTGCTGCCTAGGCGCCTAGCCGATCAAGGAGTCCTAGCAAGTTGTGTGTTTGTTCCTTTGCCATAGTCTCTTAGAACCTGTGTTGGCAAGATTTTGCTGGCTTTCGTGAGAGAGCCAAAATAGCTCGCCTCCTTTGGGCGAGAGTCTTGTGGCTTGTGCCCACCAGCCGAAGCCAACCAAACGCACCCTAAATACTACATGCAACCACCGGGAGTAACAATGTTTTTAAGCAAAAACAGTAGCCAAATGGTCCGTCTGGTGAGTGGAAAAACAAATACACAAGTTCTAGCAGAAATATTAGTCTTGGCACGAGCACATGTTCGGAAAAACAATGGGCTGCATCTGCATGGCAAAACGAATGTGCATGTAATGCCAAAAAAGAAAACGAATGCAGATGTAATGCCAAACAAGAAAACGAATGCAGATGTGGTGACGAGAGGAAAGAAACAAACTCGTCCACCAAAAGTAAAACATGAAGCCCCAATATTCGAACCTGAGCACATATCTTGGGGATGAAGATCAGTTGTAAAATGCGTAGTAGATGATCAAAGTAGAACACATATGTTCTATATATGGGCTAAGGGAACTATTTTTTTACTCTCTAACTATTAATAATTATATTGTAGAACCTCTATATGTATATAGTCCGAACAAGGATAAAGAGTTTGGTAAGTATCCACATGGTGAACGGACTACAACCTCCTTTTCTTCTTGGTTCAAGTCTGTATATTTTACAAACAGTCTCTTTGGGAGATTACCACAAGATGCATATGTCTTATTAAAAACTTCATCCAGAAACCAATGTAAAAACAGTTTTTGGAGAAAAAAGTACATCGCATTTGCATGTTGAATGACACATGTTGTCTCATCAAAGACCTTTTAATTCGAAGAACTCACATAGAAGAAAAGAGTACGACACCTTAACCTTCTAATCTTGTATTCTTCAGGATCTTCTATTCTTCGTGAATAGATGTCGATTTGCATGGTCTATGCAAAAACTTAAATATTTTAAGTTCAAAAAAACTTAAATATTTTAGCAAATACGATTTTCTTGACCTTTGTAATATTAGTGATTCACCTCCAAGATAGATTCAATAAAATATTGTCCCCCTCATATAGCCATGCTTTGAATTTTATTGCTCAAAACATTGAAATCACGCTTTTTATAAATTTGTGCATAATTAATGGTATACAATGCATAATACTATGTATGCCAATGACTTTGTTCGGAATTCTTTTGTGAACTACGAAAATGCGCAAATATGAGCATTATACTTCATGCATCAATTACCACATCTTAGTTGTGCAATACAAACAAAATTTATCCTTTTAGGGTACTAAATCTTTTCAAAGTGTACATCACATTCGCAAGTGAAATTGCACGTGTTGCCTTATTAAAAACCTTGTGTAAAAACCTTCACGTAAAACTCACATGAAAAAAGAGTACAACACTAACCTTGTTAATCATGTCTTCTTTAGGATCTTCTATTCTTCGTGAATAGATGTCGATCTTCAAGGTCTATGCAAAAACTTAAATGTTTTAGCAAATGAGATCTTCTTGAACTTTGTAATATTAATTAGTGATTCACCTTCAAGATAGATTCAACCAGATATAGTCTCCCTTATAAAGCCATGTTTTGAATTTTCATTGTTCGAAACATTGAAATCACGTTTTTATAAATTTGTGCAATTAATGGTATACAATACCATACCAATATGTATGCCAATGACTTTTTGCTCGGAATTCCTTTGTGAACTATGAAAATGAGCAAATATGAGCATTATACTTCGTGCATCAATTACCACATCTTAGTTGTGCAATACAAAGAAAATTTATCCTTTTGGGTGCTAAATATTTTCAAAGACTTCAATATTCATTGAGGAATGTTGTCAAAAATATATTCATTTAGGAATAATTCACCTTAGACTTCTTAATACTTTGTACATGTCCTAATTTGCATATGTTGCGATTTCTATTTTTGAAAAACAATATGGATTTCAGAATCCACTTATCAAACATATATTCACATTAATGTCATTTATTCACTTTGTCTGAGATATAGCAAGGCATTTGATTATTTTTATTGGGAGATTCAACCTCAATTGCTTTCAGCAATAAAACAAGCTATTTTCTGTCCAAAAGAAATCATTTTGTGTGTTTTCAGCAATAGGTCAAGCTAGTAATAGGGAAAGAATTAGATAATCTAACTGCATGACAGCAACGATGAGCTTTTGTTGTTTTTCTCACCCTTTCCGGTCCTCTGTACACTTTTCTTTACAAAAAGGAGAATTCAAAAAAGAATTTGCGCACGCAGCATCTACAGAACTAAAGAGTGACGTTAAATATTATAACTGCACATGAATGAATGAATGAATGGATTTGAGGTTCCTCGCAAAATAATCACGTCCGATCTGATCCCATCCTTAAAAAATGTAGGCCTCTCGATTCAATTTTTAATGGCGGCCGCCCCCTCCGTCGTCGATGGTGGATGGTTTAGCCAAAACCCATCACCTTGGGCGCAAATCTCAAGAACCTGGTGAGCGAGTTGGGCAGGAACTTCCTGGCGAAAAGGAAGCAGACGCTGGTGGTCCTGCCGTTGTACGTGCACGTGCTGCCGTCCCTGAGCCACCGGAGGAAGTCGACGGTGACCTCCATCCTTGTGAACCGCGCCGGGTGCGGGCCGCCGTGGGACCAGTCGACCCACGTCAGGCTGCGGTTGGCCCCCGCCGACGACGGCCGCCGGATGTTGAGGAACGTGGGCAGGTAGTGCTCGTCGGCGTAGCAGTTGCGGCGGCAGAAGCGCCGGAAGAGCGGGAAGTAGACGCGGTCGGCGACGACGTCGGCGGCGAGGCCCCGGTCTAGGTCGAACCACTGGGAGCCCTTGCGCCACTGCCAGGGGGCCACGACGGGGCTCATGCGGCGGTTGTAGCGGCCGCGGCCCGTGGCGCCTGGCTGGTCGTAGGACTCGAGGTACACCTTGGTGGAGTTGACGAGGTAGGAGTAAACTGTGGGGAAATCGAACAGCGGGACGTGCGACTCCGACAGCAGCACGAAGCGGGCGTTGGAGCGGTCGTCTACGAGGGCGTGCGCCAGAAGACGACGCTCCGCCTCCACCATGCTGATCTCGCCCCATTGCACCTCCTGCATTATTATAGTATAAAGCATAAATAAACGCACTAATTAGGATAATTAATAATTTAAAACAGAGGGAGCAGTTGTTAGCTGGCATTCAGCTAACAATTGCTAAACTATTAGCCGGACTCGCTTGGATCAAATAATAAGCTAATTATTAGCAGCTAACCATTAGCTCCATAAATACAAACAGACCCTTATTAATTAACTGCTATGTGGCCTGTGGAAGGCATTTGTACGCTAGCTAATTTTCTGTTACCATTATTTCGGTTCCACACTATAGGTGGCATCGACCGTGACCATGGTTGGCGAATGCACCTCCCAAGCAACTGCAGTGCTTTTCAAGTGCATGCACAAGGCACAAGGCACAGACAGCCGCGTCACAAGCAAAGGCGATTCTAGGGAAGCTTCCACTTTTGTTTGCTTCAGAGTTGAGGACCAATCCAATAGAACTACAAGAAAAGAAAACTTTGCCATCTAGAGTCTGGACAACGAAACAAAGCCATCGTCCTCGATCTAGGCTTCGAACCCATCGCCGGCCCCCCGTGGAATTCCGTGCTTTTGCATGTGGAAACAAAAATTCCTCCTCGTCGATCGGGCGAGTAGCTAGAGAGCCACTTGACAATTGGCAGGAGGACCCTATGCCATTGCCGTCATGTGTCGATTTTCTAAATCATGGCGTACACCTAAGGGCAGTCCCTAATGGTGCATTAATGATGGTTTCTATCCTCATTAAATAACTTACCATGTAGGTAAAATGCTGACATGGCAACGTAATTAATGAAGAAAGAGAGCAAAAATCATAGAAATGGTTTCCTCATGAAGAAATCAGGTCTACTCTTGACCCAATGCACCAAGAAACCATAAAATCGCCATTGGGGAGAAACCACCAGTTCCTAGGGAGATCGTGTCGCACTCTCATTGGAGAAAGAAGATAGAGTTGGGAGAGAGAAAGAGAAAATAATTATTACTCATAGAAACCATGGATTAGAAAGTAGTACTTTTTTGGTGCGGTGTCCTATGTTATAAAAATTACTGGTTTCTTTCGTTGGGACTGCCCTAATCGAGTTATTAGGATGCTACTTTCCGTATGGATCTGGATTCCGGATTGCTCCGTCTAGAGTATTATTAATTATTGTATTATAACAATTGAAAACGTGGGTCTAGCGATCGAGCTGAATTCTATGGCTTTAAGCATTCATTCATCATTTGCAAATGCAAATAGATAATTAAACCATACTATAGTACGCGTAATGTGCAAGACGGGTGAATGCGATCCATGAGACGTTGGGATGATAATTCCAAATTAAAGAATTCATCTATATGCTAGCACCAAAAAACAATCGAGACAGGAAAATTTGTGCGAACTGAACATGGGAGCACTGAATGAATTCTGTATATATACTTGAATTGGAGTGGGCAGCAGTAGTAGTATAGAAGGAATGCAGCGCACGCACCTTGCTGGGGATTCTCCGGCGGTAGAAGGCGGCGGTCTCCGGCGGCTCGGACCCGTTGAACGCCGGGTCGGAGTGCACGTAGACGTTGTAGAGGCCGCGGTGTCCCTCAAAGAATTTCTCCCACAGCGGCGCCATCGGCAGGTCCCAGCGCGTGAGGAACAGGAACGCCACCCTGGGGACCGTCCCGGCCGGCACCTCCCTCGGCGCCGCCGCCGCCCGGGCCATCAGCTCCTCGTCGTCGCCGTCGTCACCGATGCTGCTGCTGCTGCTACCATTGCCACCGGAGACAGCCGTAGTAACCCGAGGCGTTGCCGGTCCCGGCTTCTGGCCGCCAATACCAGGCAGCGCCGGTGGCGGTGGCGGCGGGGTAGCAGCAGCGCTAGTAGTAATGCCCGCAGCCGGAGGAGCCGGCGGTGGTGGCATGCCCATGCCCGTGGCCGCGGCCGGCGACGGGTCCGACGTCCGAGCGCGGCGGATCACTGGCGGCACCGCGCCTTCTTGTTTGGGCTGCCAACGCGCTGGCGGCACTGCGCCTTGTTTGGGCTGCGAACGCGCTGCTGGCGGCGGGGGGCGATCCTGGACGGCGTTCCTGGTGGCGGACGGCGGTAAGAAGAGGCCGAGCGCTCCTCCTCCTCCCCGGAGTGCGGCGGACGACGTCGCGTAGGAGGAGGTCATGAGGGACGCGGTGGCGACGACGCCGAGCGTGAAGCCGAGCGCGGCGCAGAGCAGGAGCTTGGTCCTAATGGGCCAGAGCGGCGGGGCGGCCAAGCCAGCCGCCGCCGCCGCCGACATGGGCAACACATGCTGCTGCGGATGCTGCTGCTTAAGGTTCTTGGTCGTAGTCATGGCAACTAGCAGTACTACGCGTAAGAGCGCGTTACTAGTTTCGCAGCGGTTCCTGTGCTGGGAGGCGAAGAAAGGAAGGCATTGAATTTCAAAGGCGAGACTGCGAGAGACGAGAAGAGCAACCGGTGAGCAGGGGGCTGCCGGTGAGGGTGCCAACTGGGGTTCGGCGATCGCGCGGGATGGGGTATATGTATCGGTACATGCACGGCACACGTGACCCGACCCAGTACACGCGCACGTAACGTAATACTACTAATCCCGTCAAATACTAGAGTAATCAATTTTTTTAAGTCGTCGTCGTAGCAGCAGCAATAATAATAATAATAATAATAATAATAATAATAATAATAATAATAATAATAATAATCAGCGTGTTCGATGTCTCAGCTTGTTTTAACTTATTCTCTCACACAGAATATTATTAAATTAGACAAAACCAGCCGAAACAAACTAGTACATAGTAGTTTTATGTACTGGCCGAACAGACTGAATAATAATAATAATAATAATAATAATAATAATAATAATAATAATAATAATAATAATAAAGAAATGACGGGGAATCCATATTATGAGGAGCAGCAACAGCAGGAAGAGGCAGGGCACCTCGTCTGAAAGAAGCTTCCGAGGCAGGCGTGGGGTCCGCGGTGACTTGGTCGCAGGACGGGGGAACCGACGTCGACTTTTTCTGGTCGCGCTTCCAAGCCATGCCGGTGGCTGTTGGTCAAAACATCCCTCCTGTGCTGTGCGCTCCTATTGCATTGAACACCGCACGTTCAGAACGAGGCTCTCCTGTATGGCTGTGTGCCTGTGTATGATTCCAAAGCTTTGCCTTTGCGCTAATCCAAGTATCTTGCGCGCAGCTTTGCTTTGCTTTGCTTTCCCGTGCGGGCAAAAGCGAGGGAGGAGGAACCTGGACTGCAGGATACAGAGGCGCCGGGCAAGTAATATTCGACGACTACGGTGCACGAAAAGGCCCTGCTTCGCCTCGCCTTCCGTTTACAGCAAACATCTTTAGCAAAAGTCTACGTAACCTCAAACTATTTAGATGGACTAATTCACCCTCTAAACTATAAAACTGGATTTTTTATCCTCTAAACTCTTCAAAACCGGTCAATTAACCCCACAAACGGTTTTGGACTGTGGTTTTGCTACAGTGATGATGGTTTTGCTTTTTTCTTTTTATTTATTTTCGCTGAATCTTTCAAAAATCATAGTAAATCATAAAAAAATCGTAAAATAGAAAATCTAATTTTGTTAGACTCCACATGAGTAGATCTACACAATGAACATATAATATGGTATGCTTTAGTACAAAGTTTTTACTGTAGCTTTAAATCTATGGTTTTCTATAATTAAATGGAATTTTGCTTGACATTGGGCTTCGATATAGCTGGTGCTTTCCTGGTCTTGGATTAAACCTCAGCTCTCGTAATTCTGTCTATAGGTGGTTCAATCTTATAAGTTTAGCATAGGTACATCGATTCAATCCTGCTCTAGGTGTACTGTACCTGATACAACCCTTTCCTCACTCGAGAATTGCATTTTCGCTTCAGCTTCCTTACATCCAACTTTTTCTAGATCTAGACAAGGATCCTTTCTCCTCAGCCTATAGAAAGAAAAGAATCTCAGTTCATTAGATTATGCTTCCTTGCCTGTGTGGAACATGTGTGAGCATTATGTTTTTTCCAACAAGTGATCCGACTGGAAGAAGTGTTATATGAGGGCTTGGAGATCAAATAGAGAATCTGTCTCTCCATTCCTCGTGAGCCACTTATTTCTCCAAAATCTGAGATCAGAGTGATTTTCCTCCTTTTTCCCAGATAGTCGACGGTCTTACACCATTGGGATACTTCGGATAAACTGGAGTACATATATGAGAGACCGGTGCTAAAACCTTTTCTCGAGATATCTTCCAAATTCTTAGGGTCCTTGTTCCGGATCTTGTTCCCCCGGTGCAAAAGCAGTTGGTTCCGTAGTTTGAGAATTATGCTAATTCCAAGTATTCCATTATTATTATTAAAAATAGAATATAAAAAGTAAAGAGGAGAAGGCATAACCAGAAGAATTGTGAGAAATAAGTCAATTTATCAAGTTGAGGCATTTCGATTTTGATTTCAAATAAAACCCTCAAGACAGAAAAAGACTCCCCCTATATTATTATATCATAGATTTCCTTCTAATAAATAGGAATAGAAAAAAAAAGACTCCCTTTTTCTTCCTATTGATTGAGACGTTGGCATGCTCCCCTATCCCTCCACCCTTCTCGGCGGGAGGGATCATAGCGAGAGCAACTACTACAATATCGGCCTCTTGACCCCGTAGGGTTAGGCTCGCCACCAACCGATAGCGACCCAGATGTCCGCCTTCTCGTACTCCCCCATGGGTCATCACTAAGACCTAACGAGAGATCTCTCTTCCGCCTTTTGTTCTATACTGAAATGGATTGTCTCCATTGCCCTCAACTGTCCGGTCGGCCCGGCGCCCAGAGGTGTGGTATGTACTCTTAGAACATATCTTTCGATAGTTTGACAAGCTCTTGATCAATGATACACTTGCTGAATTCGTTGCAAAGTCTTTCATCGTCGTCTTGGTGGGACACTTTTGTTCGCTTATCTTTTTATATCATATTCTTTTTTTGGAGGAGTGGGAGCACTCGACGAGGCCTCTCTGACGAAAGAGCCCGTTTACGCCGCATTTATTCCATCAAATAAATGACACCACAGGCACGGTATAAAGAAGATACTACTTAGAAAAAGCATGTTAATAGAGATTGTGTTTAAACAAGAGATTCTCATGATCTCTTAATGGTCGACCGATCAAACTATTTCACTTATGATCTAGCCTGGTTGACCCAATCATGATATTGAAGGATGGGACCTTTTCTCGAAGGTTGGAAAGTTCCATTCGTTTAGTATGAGATCGCTTCACACCTTGCGGTGCTTACACATCTCGCCTATCGAAGTTCTGTTCAAAAACCTCGTACGAGAACTTGTATAGAGAAGGATTTCCCGTGGCGAAGCAGTTCTTCCATACCAACTTAGCTGCCCGACACTGCTATTGGCATAACAACCAGTACACCATAGGTTGACCCAACCCAGTCCTCTCGTACTCGGGTTGGCTCCTCGTAGTTCTCCCTTTAACACCAATGGTAGATAGGAACCGAACTGTGTCATGACGTTCTAAACCCAACTCAGTACCACTTTCATTGCGAACAACCGAACCCTTGGGACCTTCTTCAACCCCAGGATGTGATGAGTCGACATCGAGGTGCCAAACAACTCCGTCGATAAGAGCTCTTGGGAGTCATTAGCATGTTATCCCTGGCATACCTTTGATCCGTTGAGCGAGAGCCCTTCCACATGGGACTCCCGGATCACTATGGCCGACTTTCGTCTCTGTTCGACCAGTCGGTCTCACAGTCAAGCAGGCTTATACCATTACGCTCACGAGCAGAATCAACGCTTGAGCCCACCTTCGCACACCTCTATTACTCTTTAGGAGGCATCCTATGGCAAAACCACCCGAAATAACACACTTACGGAGGCGCTTGTCTTCCACTAACACTAAGTGCCCCGAGAGCGAGCTACATCGAGCGGGTTTCGTCAAGCACACCCCGAGGGAAAGCACGAATGATCCACATTTTTTTCTCAAGGATCCAATAATGAGAACGAGTTACAATACTTAGTCCATTTCATACATCTAGAGTTCTTAAAAATTGTATTATTAAATTACCAACTACAGAGTGTGGAATATTAAACAGCGGAATGAAAATAAACATTAATTAAACATCTATCGATAATAAGCAAGGACCCGTCTGTGCCCACCAGATGAATCCTTCACACAACGGCTACTCCTCAAGTAGTACCTGCAATAGGGATAAATAAACCCTGAGTACACAATGTACTCGCAAGACTTGTCCGACTAGTGGGAATAATTTCCCGACTCCAAGGGGTTATGATAAGCTTTACGGTTTGCGGGTTTCCTTTTTGCAGAAAGCAATACTAATAGTGAATCCTTATTTATGTTATTATTAGCAGTCACGATTAATTCTTTATCTAGCCATTCTATGTAAGCACCTGTTCTACTTTTAAGCAAAATTTGAGCAAACAGTTCCATTTCATCACCTTTCATCTTTCAGTACTTACTACGGTGCTAGACTGTAGACAAGCCGTACCGGATTGCTCGGTGATTCATGAATCAATGTGCCTAGCTGGGTACTCCGAAACACATGCCCCGCTTGTACCCTAGGCACAAGCAGGACCAACCCATCACTCTCCTGTCACGGGGTCTAGGTCCCTATCCAACTTGGACTCCAAGCCCCCGCTCTTGAGTCCCGGACTTAGTGCGGTGCTTAGACCTCCACCATCCCTGCCTCCAATTAGTCGGTTCAGAAAGAGCTGGAACCCACGACAAGAGAGCAACAAGTCTTCCCTGCGCCCATACCCAAGTATGTGCTCGGGATAATAAGTCTGTGACTTGCCTAGAATCCAATGCAACGGCCAATCCTTAACCGACACAGACAGGGAAAAAGTGTAACCAAGCTATGCCCTGTTGGCCGCAGGACACAACCTCTTACACCCTCCAATACCAAAACCATATCCCTACCCGATCTCTAATTTCCTTTCCACCATTTTATCATGAGTGATAATAATCACCTATTGTGAGTAACGGCGGGTTACTCATGGTACCGAATCCTGAGCAGAGCAGCTAATCGACCTATACTAGTAGGACTCGTAGGTAAGTATATTTATGCATGTAGTTTCCATGAAATGCCTGTAACGTAAATGCACATCATATATGTATATTCAATGATGATTCAAAAATAGGGGTTATGCACCGGGGTTTGCCTTGGGCAGGCGGTGTGTCAACAAAGTCAGCAACGAACGGCTCCAGGGCTCCCTCCTGTACGAGAATCTCCTCCTCGTACTCCCCAATGATCTCCT